ATGGTCATTTAATTGTAAGTGGTTCATCTAAATACACGTGTATTTCTTTCTCTTCATTTAATTGTAAATGATTTTCTACAAAATAAGAAGTTTAGATGAAACCATATGTAATTCCCAAGTGAGATTTGCTTTAAAAAATTTGGGTAAATTTATCAATTTTATGTGTGATTAGAATTCCTACCATGCATACTTTGCTTCTTTCAATACTATTTTACTATGACCATAGTTGTTATAAAACCAGAAAAAATTGTGAGGACAGTGGCTTATTCAGGAGGCTGATGCAGGAGGATCATAAATTCAAGGCAAGCTTCAGTTTCAAAATAAAAAAAAGTTAAAAGGGCTGGGGATGTAGTTTAGTGATAGAGAGCCCCTGGGTTCAATCCCCAGTAAAATAAAAAAAGAATAAAAAAAGAATGGCAATATTTATTGCATAGGACTAATATAGTATTGTCAATGTTCTAGGTTTATCTCACTTAACTAAACACAAATCAAAGAAAGCAACTGTGCATTGGCTACTGAACTAAATAAATGGTGTCATACATCTTCAGGATAAGAAAAAATCCTGAGCTGAAATGAACCTATATAAGAACAGCAACATTTCTAAAAAAATGTAAAAATCAATTTAGTAATGTCACTTTACAAGAGTTTTTTAAACTTGGCATTTGTAAACCTCTGAAATTACACATTCTACATGTCTAGTGTTTTTCTAGGATGATGATCTAATGCTTTCACTATTCTCAAAAGGGAGTGTTATCCCAAAAGGTTGATAACACTATTCTTTGCAGTATACAAATTTCCTTCTTTTCTTATATATTAGTTTCACAAAAGAGCCTGCTTATATAAAATAAGCAGTATAATTTTATATCCATCTCCATTTCACACTTCCGAAATAACCATGAATGCGTGTAACATAAATTCATAACTACAAAAACACTTCAAGTAGCCAAGTAAGAGGATCGCAAATTAGAGGCCAGCCTCGACAATTTAGCGAGACCCTGTCTCAAAAAATAAAAAGGACTGGGTATATAGCTTAGTGGTGAGCGCTTGCAGGAGGCCCTGGGCCCTTGGTTCAAAGTCCATCCAGAAGGACTGGGGGGGGGGGGGCACTGCAAGTTATCCAGAAGTTCTTAAAGCCTACGAACCTTTCCTACAGCTGTAATTATGGAGTAAAGAGGAACGAGGAGCACAGAAGAACCATTAAAAAGAAGGGTAAGCTTTAACCAATGAAAAAGGAGGATGTAAGAAAAACGAGGATTCTGTGATACAAGGACGACCTTCGAATTACCGATTAAATACAGTTACAACTGCAACAAAGATAGCCAAATTTCAGTTTTCTGTAGTAGAAAGAACAGTTTAGGAGGAGGGGTTTGTAAGTTCAAAAAGACCTATGTAAAATTCACTCTCTAAACTACAGAAAAGTTTATAACGCCATTAATCTAAACAATATTTTGACTTAATTTACAACTGCCTCACAATTTACTATAACAACTTATTAGCAAAATCATACCATACTTAATGAGGTTTCCTTAGGCAGCGATTGGAGACTATTGTTTCTACAATCATCCAACTGTGGTTAAATGATAGTAGCTTTCAGTTCAACCCCGTGAACCATTAAATTTGACAAAAAGTCAAATACAAACGAAAAATCTCAACCAAACTAAAGTCAACGAAATAAAACTGAGATTTGTTTTCTTTCCTCGCCCTTGGGTACCGCACCTCTTTGTGCACTGGGTCCGAAGGTCTCCTAACCTCAAACTCCAGTTACCAACCCGGCTGAGAATGCCCGGCAGGAAACCCTGTCGTAATCCTCAGGGGAGCTTGTGCTAGACGTTGGACTCGTCGGCGGCTGTTGACGGGCACGAACACCGAAGGAGTCTCGATGCCTGACGTTGTCCCGTTGGGCCCGAAACCAAGACCAGGGGCGCGTAGTCACCAGAGACCGGGCCTCAGGCTGGCAGAGCCAGCAGAGACCGAGGCCGGGGTCCCAGCTTCCTGGGCACAACTTCAAGGCCCGATGGCCGTCGAAGAGGGCAGAAGGCAACAGGCGGACACAACTGCCCGGGACCCTCAGCGACCGGTTCTGCGTTAGCACCGCGCCGGTCAGACTCTCTCAGGATTCGCCGCCGCCCCTCCTCCCCGGCCCAGGGCCACCTCCACGTTCCGCTCCAACGTGGCAGCCGCAGCCCCTCCCTGCAGGCCGACACTTCCGGGTGCAACGCTTTGCCCCGCCTACTTCGGCGCGCTGTCGGCCACGGCACTTCCGGGAGTTGAGGCCGGTCAGGTATCAAGTCCAGTGCTGAGGTTTAGGGGCCCTGGTTTGCATCACGTGTGGTTATAGACACTTTTCTGTAAGATTGGGCGGAGGGTGTGGATGCAGTAGCCACACTACGGGTAAAGGAAAAGTCGTGCTGGGCATTGCGGTCTGGCTTATGGCGGTGGCCCGCAGGAATGCCACGTAGTCCTGTGAGGCACCAGCAGCCCTTGAGCTACTGCCAACGCCAAACTACGTGAAAATCGGGCTACAAGGAGCTTATTGCAGTTTGCCTGGGCTCTTTAAATTGCCTACTGTTTTTACAGTTTTGTGTCTTGAGAATTGAAATTGGATGATCTTGTCATACTCAAAGATTATTTGTAGAGGGCTGGGGATGTGGCTCAAGCGGTAGCGCGCTCGCCTGGCATGTGTGCGGCCCGGGTTGGATCCTCAGCACCACATACAAACAACGATGTTGTGTCCGCCAAATGCTAAAAAATAAATACTAAAATTCTAAAAAAAAAAAAAAAGATTATTTGTAGAAATAGTTGATTTAATGCTCCAAAGGGGCATACGTAAGTGGGCCGAGGTATGTTAATTTTTTAGTATCCTTAAAGTTACTATCCCATTAAGTCCAGACCCATTACAACTAGCCGTGGGCAAGTAGTAGTTTGAGCATCCCCAATCTGAAAATAAAGAACTTTTGAGCGCCTACTTAACGCTCAGATTAAGGAGCTTTTCAGGTTTCAGATTAGCGATGTTCAATCAGAAAAGTCTATGCAAATATTTCCAAGTACAAAAAACTTAAAATCTTTCTGGTCTCAAGCATTTCACACGAGATGCTCCTACTTTCCTCAGACCCTTGATGTGTTACCTCAATGCACTTTTTGAGTTTAGGGAGTAATAATTTTATAGTCAAACCAGAGAAAAACATTAAATATTAAAACCTGCACTCAACCTAATGTCTCCTAACTTCTACCCCCGTTCACTTTCCATTATACCTATCATCCAAAGCCAGTTCTTTAAGGAAACCTTGCCCACCTGCCATAACTGGAATGTTCTTGCACACAAAAATATAAAATATGGTCAATACTACCATACTGGAGAATTTTTTTTTTAATTCACTGCACTCTTCCCAACACCTTCAGTTTCCTACATGTGCGGCTCAATTTTTAAAATATTTTCCAACAGGTTTGAAATAAACCAGCTCAAGCATATTACTAGTTTTTCAGTGGCTAATTTTGAGTATGTTCTAAAATACTTTCCATTCTAACTTATAGCTTATCTAGAGGGGCCAACAAAAAACCTGACTGAAAAAGTGGGACCATCCAGCTAGGTGCAGTGCTGCATGCCTGTAATCCCAGCAGCTCTGGAGGCTCAGGCAGAATGACCAAAGCCAGCCTTAGCAACAGGGAAGCACTAAGCAACTCGGTGAGACACACACACACACACACACACACAAGTGGGACCATCCTTTGAGCCAAGAGAAAAAGTTTACCTTCTGAACTCTCTTCTTCTTATCCTATTCCAAAGGGAGTGCTACTTGGAAATGTGCATTAGTATGGAAAGATTCATTGTAACTCCTACTCTCACCCTAAAAACAATAATTGAAGCATAAATCAGTCACCTCCAAACCTTGCCTCCTTCCCCAAAATTCCAGGCCTTGTGAATAGTTGAAAAAGGGGAAAAAGTACGAAAGAAAATATCTTAAAATCAGGAGTGTTGGCACATGTTTGTAATCTCAGTGGCTCAGGGAGCTGAGGCAGGAGAAGCATGAGTTCAAAGCTAGCCTCAGCAATTAAGACCCTATCTAAAATACAAAATAAAAAGGGCTGAGGGTGTGGCTCAGGGGTTAAGCAACTCTGGGTACAAAAAAAAAAAAAAAAAAAGAGACTTTTGAGACTCAAATTTTGGTATTCATAAATAAAATTTTATTAGTACACATTCACACTTGATGGTTATTGTTTATAGCTGCTTTAAGCTATACAAAGGCAGAGCTGGGTAGTTGTAATCATGATGGCATGGGCCTTCAAAGCCTAATATTTACTATGACCTTACTGGAAAATGTTGTCACTCTATTAGGGTGTGGCCTACAAATGGATTGATAAATGAACTCCAAATATGAGAAATCCAATACTATAAACTTAATTTCAAAACTTTGGTATTCAGCATACAAAGGCAATATGAATAAATATCTGTAGACTTGATATGTGTATTTATATTTGGTTTCATGTGTTTTAAATGCAGGCACAATGCAATCTAAGTCTTTGGGAAAATATATAATTATTGTTTCCTTAAAATTGGTCAAAAAATTAATTTTCAGCCAAGCACAGGTCTGTAATTCCAGTTGTTAGGGAGGCTGAGGCAGGAGGATTGAGAGTTCAAAAGCCAGCCTCAGCAACTATGAGGTGCTAAGCAACTCAGTGAGACCTTGTCTCTAAATAAAAGACAAAATAGGGCTGGGGGTGTGGCTCAGTGGTCAAGTACCCTGGAATTCAATTCCTGGTACCTCCCCCCAAAATTAATTCTGATGGGAAGGGAGGTGGGACCGGAATAGAAAGACAGTGGAATGATTGACATAACTTTGCTATGTACATACAGGAGTACTCCACAGTGAATTTCTACATCCCACGAAACTGGGATCCTAATTAGAATAAAATGTAATCCATGTTTGTATAAATAAGTCAAGTTATATTCTACTGTCATGTATAACTAAAAAGAATAATAATTAAAAAGAAAAAGCACAGAAAAAAATTAAAATCTTGATATTTATTTTAAATGCAAAAATATTACTCTGCAACTTTTTTGTAAAACTAGCATTTAATTCACTATAATTAAAAACATTAGAAGCTGAAAATTACAGTTTTTTAAAAATATAAATAATTTATCAAGAGTAGTTTAAATAGTACTTGTCTTCATATTACTTACAATAAGCATTGAACATCTTTCCTATGCCTTGACATAGGAACCACAAATTTTACCCTTTTTCCTTTCAAGGTCATGAAGTTATCTCTGAGAATTTGATGTGAAAGGTTTTTGCTGGCATCACTTCCTCTGAGGTATGTTCATCTTTTATGTCACAACCACTTCTATCACTCATGCCAAGAGGTTCACCTTCACTAAGCTCATCTGGCTTTTCTTCAACTGGCTCTTGACCAGCAGCAGTATCAAATTCCTTCCCAGTCCACTCTATCTTCTATAACACTGCATTGAAATCCTACAAGGTGGACTCAATGGAGTCCTACATTAAGTAGGACTACTTGTATCTGGGAATCTGGGTACAAATTTCATAGTAGTGCCTTTATCTGAGTTTGCAACTTAACCAAGTAGATTAGCATTAACCAATTCATGTTGACTTCTGAAATAATGAATCCAGCTTTACTGGCAGTAAAATTTTTATTTTCAGTTTCATTGTAATTATTTTCTTTCATTGCAACAGCTAACAACAGTGCTTGGGCCTGAATGCTAGCTAGCCAAACTGGGATCTGTTTTTGATCAGTCTTCAATTTTGACTGTAAATGGCTTTCTGTTAGTAGCACAATTTAAATTAAGATATGGCGGCAACTAACTATATATGCAATGCAGTTCACACTGTAGCTTCCTGCAGGCTTTGCAGCTGACACTTTCAAATCTTCTAATCACACCCATTTTCACTTCTAGCATTATCCATTTTCATTTCTTTGCTACACTGTCATCTTTATTGACCGATTCCTTCTTTTGATTATCCATTTTTGTAAAAGAGTTCAGTCTCGGGCTGGGGATGTGGCTCAAGCGGTAGCACGCTCGCCTGGCATGCGTGCGGCCCGGGTTCGATCCTCAGCACCACATACAAACAAAGATGTTGTGTCCGCCGAAAACTAAAAAAAATAAATAAATATTAAAAAAAAAAAAAAAAAAAAAGAGTTCAGTCTCTGGGATACAAGAAAGCAGTAAATCTATGCACTTTGCTATCAGTGCAAGGACTGAATAAATTATTAGTAAACAATCACCATCAGACTTTAAAAGAAGTGAGTGGTCACTGATCATGATGTACATCTTTTATTTGCAAAATAATTTGTGAACTGAAGAACTAGCAGCAAAATTTATATAACTATTTTCAGTTAATACTTTAGTAACTGATACTTGTACCTATTAAGACTACTGTACTGAAAAAGAAAATAATCATTTCAGAAAGGTCAATTTTTAATAGCTGACTATAAATTAATCAAGTTTTGTCCTGGATCAAATAAAAACAAAACTTCTCTCAAAGAGTGCTAGTTTCAAGACTGAATTACTCAGTAAAGGTAGAACAACGTGTGGAGATAATTTAAAGAACAATTCAAATTAGGATTTATACATGGTCAAAAAAATATTATTTTGAAAATTGTGACTCCCCCTTTCATTTCAATAATCTTCAAGTTTTCAAGGAGTGAAGTTCTAGAAAAATAACCACAAGGAACAAGATGGTCAGTTGTGTAGTTTGCTCCCTAACAGCCAGTACAGTACTATGCTTACATTTTAGCAAAACAGCAGCATTCCTTCTATTAATGTTTTAGCTTTATTGTTTTTGGATGCATTTATTTCATACATCTTTTTCATATGGGCTATAAAAAAATATAAACTTTTAGGTTTAGCATCTTTTGTATGTATTTAATGAGAAATTAAGTTATTAAGATTTCTCTTTGCAGGATGTATATGTTCTTTAAATTTGGGAAATGGGTATGATAAAAGACACAATGACAAAACTGGTAATAGATTTGAGATTCTCAGCTACCACTTTCCTATTATGTTATTGGATAGTCATCCATTGGAATTATGTATGAATCATTTAAAGAATAGCAAATAATAAACAAATGTAAACTCTGGGAAATATGATCTCTAAGAATTTCAAGGCCTGAAAGGATTTTATCATTATTTCTAAGAAAAGATGACTATTAAAAGTCCCTTCTTCTACCCCTCCAATTTTCTTTCCTGAGTCAACCTATAAATTTGGAAAATTCTATTTTTCTTTGAAAGCTAAAATAAGAAAAGAACTTTAATTCAAAGTACAATATCTACATTATACTTAAATGTCAAACTTTTGTTCTCATCTTACTTTGTATTCTTTTTTGAAAACTACTTATTTTATAAACCTCTTACCTTATTACATATAAATCTTCTAATTCTTGATCAAATAAATACAATAAGTGATTTTCTCTAAGAAAAACAACCTTCAATTTTAGTCCTACAAGGGAAAATATTCAAACAGGCAAATCAATGTATAGAAATTACACCATATATTTAAGTTTCATGACTATTTCTATTATGTCCTCATCCACAGAAATTAATCACAACAAATCATGATGTGAACAGCAGTGGAAAAAGTTTAATCATTGGACATTTATACTTAATTTGAAGCTCTATTCTTTTTTCTTTGATTAGCCCTTAAAAATCCCAGCAGCTTAGGAAACTGAAGCAGGAGGATTGCAAGTTTTGAGGCCAGCCTCAGAAACTTTCTAAGACCCTCTCCTCAAAAAAAGAAAAAAAAGAAAGAAAGAAAAAAGTTGGGGAGATAGCTTAGTGGTAAAGCACCCCAGGGTTCAGTCCCCAGGACCATATACACAGACCTGCAGTTTTATTATGACTGAAAAAATAAATCAGAACAAAGATTATTTCAACTGTATCATTATATCTACTTTCTACAGACTATCTCATGCTACCTTGAAAGCATCTTCTCCATAGCAAGCCTGATATTCTAAACTGTTTATTCTTTGCTTTTTATGTAATCTTTTTTTTTTGGTACTGGAGGTTGAACCGAGGAGTACTTAACTACTAAGCCACATCCCCAGCCCCATTTTATATTTTTATTTAGAGACAGAGTCTCACTGGTTTGCTTATTGCCTTGCTTTTCCTAAGGCTGGTTTTGAACTTGCAACCCTCCTGTCTCAGCCCCCTAGCCACTGGGATTACAGGCATGCCCCACCATAGCTGGCTTAATATAATGCTTTTCTTATTAGACAAGCGTTCACAACTATCAGAACTAAGACTTTACAGGAAAAGAAGGAAGGTTGTTTCTATTAACGAACTTGACAGCAGTGATGAAAAAAATTCAAAAGATTACAAATATCAGGCACTAATTATTATTCTATAATAAGGGACATTCTGATTGCTTGACATGGTCTGTATTTGCTAATGAAGAGGGGCAGGAGCACATACAGAGGGGAAAGGCAGCAGCGGGAAGTTGTAGTATAGTATCCCTATCATATTGAACAAAAATGAAGCTTGAAGAAAAAGGTCAAAATGCTTCACTGATTCTGTACATCTGTACCTTTACTCCATCCTCCAGCAAATATTTATAGACCTATAAGTAATTAGACTATGTTCTTTACAAGACTGTAAATAAGCCGGGGACAGTGGGCGCATGCCTATAATCCAGGTAGCTCGGGAGGGTCAGAGAGAAAGATCGCAAATTCAAGGCCAGCCTCAGCAACTGAGAGAGGTCCTGTCTTAAAATAAAAGGGGCTGGAAATGTAGCACAGTGGTAAAGTGCCCCTAGTATCCCCAGTACCAAAAAAGGAAAAACCTAAACTGAATGTTTAACATTTTCATTAGTGCCACCTCAGCAAAATACTGGGTTAAAGAAACCAAATTTCTAGTTATAGTCTAGTTCTCATCAGCTTCTTCTACCTCATCCACCTAGAACAAGAGAAAAAGCTATTTAAAAAATATGATCAAGGTAAAGTACTCTGTAAGATGAATTTGATTATGTTCTAGAAATTTTCAAAATGGAACACAGAATTATTTCAGTAGTTTATATGATATATGTAGCATATACACATATGCAAGTTATATACTACGTATATATTACTACATATGCACAAGAAATAATAAAACTTACTTATTTGGATATACATGCTCTTATACACCTAATTTACTTGAGTCAACTATTAAATCCTTTTGATGTAATAAATTGAAAGTTAAAAAAAATATATATGATATCCTTGTGGGGTCCATGATGATACCCCACCACCAACTCCTGGTATTCACACCCCTGTATAATCCATTCCTATTATGTCTCCATGAATAACAGAAGAGGAAAGATGAAATGGTATATGCTTCCTAGATCAAGTTTTAAACGTAAAGTTTCTATCTGGGTATTTTATTCTTATATCTTGCCCTCTGGGGGAGGCTACCTGCTATGGTTTGGAAGGCATAGTCTATGAAGAGGGTCATATGGCAAAGAACTAAATTCTTTAGACATTAGCCAGCAAAGAAGTAGAGCGCTCAGAAGCTGCCCTATTCTCCCAAAAATTAAGTCTTCAGATGACTGTCATGTCATTAGACCACACTGAGCCAAAATAACTCACTCTATTCCCAGAATAGTGATCCACAAAAGCAGTGGGATAATAAGAGTTTGTTATTTTGACCTACTAAAGTTAACTAAGAGGACAAAATCTGTATCTGTATCCAAAGAGCAAAATATTAAGTGAAAAGGTTCAGGACTGCATTTAAATTTGGTCACCGGGGATGTGGCTCAAGCGGTAGCACGTCCGCCTGGCATGCTTGCGGCCCAGGTTCGATCCTCAGCACCACATACAAACAAAGATGTTGTGTCTGCCGAAAAAAACTAACATAAATAAAGAGAGTTTTTTAAAAAAAAATAAATAAATAAATAAATAAATAAATTTGGTCACCAAAAAATTTCAAATTCTAAATACTTTCTGAAGAAGAAAAAAAACATAGCGAACTCAAAGATGAAAAATTCAGCAAAAATGAGTTAGTTATAGCAGGACAACAAATTGGAAATTTCTAGTAGAATTAGCCAAGTATCTGAAGAAAAGATATGCTTAACAAGCAAAAGACTGGGCTTAGAAATTAAAATATGTCTGCTTTTATAGGGGTATTATAAGAAACAAATAGGTTTAAAAAAACAACTCTCAAGCTTAGCTCAATAACTGATCAATAAGCATTGTTATTCTTCCCTATGTAGCCAATAAACTCTACCATAAAATAGGTAATAAGATAACACCAGTCTTTACAAATCCATTTTTTACTTCGACAATCCTCCTTTTCCAAGTTGCTGCTAGTTTCAGGACTACTTAATACACATAAAACAGAAAAATATACTACCTTCCCTGAATATTTAGACTTCTTATCCAAGATCCACATCTTTTCCCATTATCTCCTGAAAAAGAGGTATTTTTAAATTATTTTGTGCAATGGTCAATGCCTTTTACAATTAACACCATCTTTAATAAGGCTTACATATCCTCATTTAAGTATTCAATAATCACAACGGTTCATTATGTGAACAGCAGTGAAAATATTTAATCACCGGATATGAAGTCACTAAAGGAAAGATATAACCAAATGATCAAATTGAGAGCCTCAATGTCACCACTAAACAACAAAAGGCACAAAAAAGTTTTATTAAATATTTCCCTATACTGAAGTATTCTGAGACTATCTAGAGCAGTGACCTCTTCTTTCTGGCTTCTGTAAAGTGAGTTTTATTGTTTTTTTAAATAGGCTTATGATATTTAAGTAAATCTGACATTCTACTATAGAACTGTCAGTTCTCAGTAACTTGTTTACAATTAGTAATTACCACTTCCACCTAGAAAAATTAAAATATCTAGAAAAAAAAGAACACAAGGTAGAGTACTCTAACCATAAAATGAACTTTCTTATAAATGTTCTACAAATTTTCAAAAAGAACACAGCATCACTTCAGTAATTTATATAAATGTATTACATATACATATGCAATACATATCATATATATTACTACACACACACACACACACACACACACACACTACAAAGAATATACCTAAGAAAGGAGATTGCTTATTTGTATATACATGCTCTCATAATATTTAACTGGCTCCCAAACCACCTGAATCATCATCTCTTTTTTCAGGCTCTCAACTGGTTATATTAGCTGTAAACCATTTTAAGAACACATTAGCCAGAACTCCACTTCCATTCCCAATGTCTCAGTCCTTCCATTTTGCCCATTTTATGCCGGCTGTGGCCTTTTCGCTTTGAAGTTACCTAAAATTGGGTAGGAACATAAATGCACTCTTTAGGTAGCAATCACTCCCCCCCACCCCGCCCCCCCAAGTGATTTTAATTTGCATAGATTTTGAGTAGTCTACCTTAATCCTTTTTTTTTTTCTGTAAACTTTCAAATGAATAATTTTGCTGAAATTAAGTTCTTTTCTTCAGGAACACATTTAACATTATAGCAGAAACACATGTGCTAAGGACTGAAAATCACCTTATACATTGTCTTTGAACTCAAGGAACATCCTCTAGTGGGTTCCCTACAAAGTATTGAATCCTTTAAAAAAAAAAAAAAAGGGCAACCACCACAATGGAATACTTGAGGCTTATGATTTTTGTGGCAAAATTGGAAACCTCATCCACTCCAGGTGGGAATGTAACATGGTACAGTAACTTTGGAATATAGTCCTGAAGCTCCTCAAGAAGTTAAACATAATTACTATATGACCCAGAAATCCATTCTTATGTGTAATCAAAAGAAACAAAAACTTATGGGGCTAGGGATATAGCTCAGTTGATAGAGTGCTTGCATTACATGCACAAGTCCCTGGGTTCAATCCCCAGCACCAAGAAAACAACAACAACAAAAAAAACTTATGTCCGTGCCGTGTAGAACTTGTACATTAATGTTTACAGCATCCTTACTCATAATAACCCAAAATACTGTTAACACAAATGTACATCACTAATGGATAAATAAAATGTGGTATATCTATACAATGGGAAAAAATTCAGTGATAAAAACATAATTAAGTACTGATACATGTTACAACATGGATGAACTGAGAACATTGTACATTAAAGAAGCCAGTCACATAATTTCTCATGTTAGTTTATTATCTAGATGAAGTACAATGAACAGTTCAGTCCACAAAGAAAAGTAAATTGGTTGCCTCGAGGGACAGGAGAGAGGGAGATATAGCTAAAAAGAATGGGGTTTCTTTTTTGGGTGATAAAAATGTTCTCATATGGGCCAGGCAAGGGACCCATAGTCCAAGGCAATTCTGGAAGCTGGGGCAGGAGGATCACTTGAACCCCACTTGAACACCAACCTGGGCAATATAGTCAGACCCCATACTATATCAAAAGAAAAGAGTGTTCTAAAATTCAGTGCAGTGATAGTTGCTCAACTCTGAGCAAATACTAAAGTCTAACTGAACTGTATACATTAAATCTGTTAATTATATGGTACTTATCTCTTTTACTGTTACAAATATATAAGGCAACCAATTTTTTCCTTAAAGGTAATTTAAAACAATGTTACTATTTCCATTTAGCCTAATTCAGGTCTTAATTCGAGTACTAGAATAGTACTCAATAATAATAATAGCCCAACCAACTGCCCCAATATTTTTACCCAGCTTCTAGTCTTTGTTGTACATCTTAACAGCCAAGCAAACGTTTGCTCTGCCCATTCCCCAGATGATAATCTTTCCAAAGTTCATGAACTATCTCTACACCATAATTTTTAATAAAACATAAGCAAATCTCTATTAATTTCATTCAGATAAGAAATGAGCACATTATAATGGAAAGTAGATATAAATAATACCTTGATACGAATCTTTTTGGCTGGAATCTAGACCAAATAATCAAAAAGGAAAACAAGAAGCAATCAATCTTTTAGGTCTGGAAATTTGGAATTATGTAAGCTAGATTAACACTGCTGTTTTTTCTAAAAGTGGCCTCCAACACTATGCAGGATTAAAACAGAACCACTTAATATGCTATGGCTATACTTTTCAAAGACAAAAATATTGTGCCCTCATTTGGCCTATTTTCTTTCTTCCTTGAAAACTGACCATCTCAAATTCTGAAACCTACGAGTGCCCCATTTCCAACCAAAATGACATGACTGCCCTTTCTCTCCTGCCTCCATGACTGCTACTGCACTGCACTGAAGGCTTCCCAAACCCCCAGGAAAACTTACCTTATTTCCTTGACTCCTCATCGTAGCAAAGTAGCTTTCGGAAAGGGGTTCTTTGAATGTCGGAGCATGCTCACTTCATACTCTTCGCTCAAGCTCCTCCGAAATCACATTTTTAACGCCAACCATGACAACATCTCCTACATTGTCTCCGAATCAGAGAGCTAGCTACAAGATTAAGTAAAAGGAAAACGATGTGCAGCTCAGTAAATCATTTTATATTTGCCCAGATTCTGTCTTCAACATGTAGGGCACCACGTTTTATTTGTCCCCTTCATATCCTTTCCCATACATACCCTCCAGTTTCAGAGATCGCACCCGAAGTCCCATCCGCATGCTTCATATTCGCCTCAATTTTGGCCCTTCCTCTCTGCTTCATATTCTCAGAACTGGCCTCACAAAACACGCGATGGCGCCGGATTCATTCCAAGTAGGAAAACAATCCAGTTACAGCTAACCCTACCACGCACCCAAAGGCGGAGAAGGAGCGGTCAAGAGCAAGTCTTAATGCCACTGACCTTTCCGATTGGCCTCTACAACACGCCATGCTCCGTGATTGGCTAGGGCGTCAACCGGTGAGCCTACAGAGAGGCAGAGTGGGAGTGCCTCGCCTGTAAAGCCCGCCTTCCCTCATAAATAAAGGTCCAAGACGTGGAGTCAACGGGCGGAGCTAAATTTATCGTGATTCAAGCTGTCGCGGGAAGCCTGGAGGTGGAGCCCCATGTAACAAGATGACCCGAAGTTGCTCTGCAGTGGGCTGCAGTACCCGAGACACCATGCTGAGCCGAGAGCTCGGCCTCTCCTTCCACCAGTGCGTGTGAGAGCAGCCGCGCCGCCATCAAGCTCGCCGCAGAGCCTGGCGAGCGTAGGCCGTGGGGGGGCGGGGCCGGGCGTTGCGTCGCGCCGTCGATGTGACGTATGTGTCGTGGGGCGGGGAGCGGAAGTGAGAAGCGTCTGAAGTTGGGGTTCCTCGCTCACTTCTTCTTCAATGTTTACCTCCAAATTGCAGATCTTTTCCCACTGCGCTTTGCCTAATGAATTTTGAGTGAGGTTACTCAAAAGGAGTGGTCTCATTTAAAGTGAGGCGATCAGAAGGGAGGACAGTTGGGAAAACTGTTACAAGCATGCGCCCCCATTAGACTACGTGGCTTCTTCGAGAGCTTGAGTACTGATCAGTTTTGGCCTGTGCAGCCTAACCTTGCAAATTGTCGGCATTGTTGGTCGAGCTCTACAGGCCGGTACGATTCTGGGTGGATTCTGGGTGGTCATGTGGTCGTGTCAAAGAAATTTCCTATTGCTCAAGAGTGGGAGCAGAATTTCATAGTAGTCCCATCTGAACCCATTTATAGTGCAGGTTGGTGTAGGTCATTCAAATCAATGTTAAAGATACACCAAAAAGTAGAAGAGGAGGTAAAATAGATCCTCACGGACAGAAGACGCGTACTCCCCTAGAGGTAGCCTATTAAAATATTAATAAGATGTAGAGAGCTAATGGAAGTAATTTAATAAGAAGATAACAGCATCATATCGGGCACGGTGGTGCACACCTGTAATTCCAGCAAGTCGGGAGGCTGACGCAGGAAGATCTCAAATTGAAGGCCAATTAGTGAGGTCCTAAGCATTAACTTTGCGAGATCCTGTGGATGTGAATGTAACACAGTGGCAGAGGGGGTTCAATAGTCAGTAACAAAAAAAGAAAAAAAAAGCTTCAGGGAGTGATAGATGGGTAGCACTTAAGTAGGAACAGCAAGGAAGAAGGTAAAGAGATGGAGAGTGCAGAAAAAATGTAGAGGAGTGGAAAGATAATTAGGAGATAAATTACGGAATAAATGCCAGGTTAAGGAGTTTGGGCTATGTCTTTTGGATGGTCTTTTGTTGTTTTAATTGTGTGCTTTCTTGATTCTTCCTAACCTTTACTCGTCAGTGGGTTCCCCTTCTCTTTTAAACTGCTATCTTCTGTTTACTTGCCTAAAGCCAGTAAACATATAGACTTTTTTTTTTTTTTTTTGATCATGGAGCTCTCGTCATGTAAAAATCTGAGTACATGCCCTGAAATCTGTGATACGTATATCACAAGGAAAATTATTTAAAATTAGAATTAGGTATTACCAATTTAATTTTCTTCAGAACTCTGTATCTAATTTGTCATACTCACTACTCGGCAATATTTGCCAACCTTTTCCGTGGCATTTTATGCATACAAAATGCTTCTATAATACTTTGAGAGAGAGAGATGACAAAACTCTTTGGGGTTCACTTATAGTAACTACTCTGGGGCTCCAAGTGTCCCAAGCTATTCCATGTATTTGCCAGGTTTACCATTTGGGAAGCTTAGCATCAGGGATGGGTCTAATCATAATTTGGTAAACCAGCCTGCTTTTTAGAATGCTTCATAAACATCCATTAGTTAAGAATTCAATATAAAGTGATTTCCCTTTATTTGTAAAACAATTCTCTGTTTGCTCTTGTTCAAGTACCTTTATTTTCCTGGAACAGTAAAATGAAAATCCCAGAAATGGAATTAATTCTTCCTAAGGAAGAACAAACTTTGGATAGTATTATACACTTTAGAAAGTGCTTTGGAATTCATTTGTAGTTTTATTTTATATCTTATTACAGCTCTGTGAGAAGACTCAGATTGAAACATGTATCTAAGACCACACAGCTTCTAAAAAGTCATTGACACTTAAATATAAGCCTTCCAATTCCATGTCCTTTCTTAAAATAATTTAGAGTATCTCAGAGTTGTTTTACCATTCTGCTATGTTTCTAACCATTATCTGAGGAAATTTTCACCAGTCTCAATACCTAATAACTGTGTGCTTTTAAATATTAAAATATGCAAAAGTTATATGTAGGCATATACTATCTATAAGTCTGTTTCCAAGATGAATCCAGCAGGAGGGTACAAAAAGAGTAGTTTGGAGATTTTCTTTTCTTTCAGTGCTGGGAATTGAAGCCAGCATTCTGCCATTGAGCACTTTTTATTTATTTATTTATTTATTTTAAAAATTTTTCGGGCAAGATCTTGCTAAATTGAACAGGCTGGCTTTTAACTTGCAGTCCTCCTGCCTCAGCCTCCTGAGTAGCTAGGATTACAGGCATAAACCACTGCACTGGGCTAGTTTGTGATTTTCTTTATGTGAATTTCAAAAGTTTCCAAACATTAATTTGGCTGGAATTTAAAAAAAATAAGAGAAATGCAAGAATATATATATTTAAAATATAAATATATATATATTTAAAATATAAATATATATATATATATATATATATACACACACACACACACATACATACACATAAATACATACACACACACATTTTTTTTTTAATATGTGTTCAAGGCTAGGGGGAAAAGGGGTACCTTAAAAAAAATGTGGGAAGCAGGACAAGGAATGTACTTTTTCCACTGCTTCATGGAAATGACATCAAAATTCAGTGGAAACATGATCTCACACATTTTTAAGAGTTAGAAATTGAGGAGTGGATTAGCTGGATTTGATGAATTTGATGGTATCTCATAAGATTGCAGTTACCTGAAGTCCTGACTAGGGCTGAAGGATCTGTTTTCAAAAAGGCTAATTTCCATGGCCTTTGGCAGGAGGCCTAAATTTCTCCCCAAGAAATCCACTCCACAGGACCGCTTATAAAGCTACAGATAATTTCCCCAGGGCAAAAGCATTCAGTTGAAAGAAGGAAGCTTCTATGCCTTTCATAATCTGGTGTCTGATTTCTCACTGTCACTTCTGCTTTAGCAAAATTCTTTGCTAAAGTATTTCCTGGTCTTACTCAAGGAGAGGAGAATTAGAAGATAGAATTAGAATTGAAAGGAACCGTCAATTGGCTTGGTGTATCTTCCTCCCTTCTGCTTGTCATGGTCGTTCAGCTAAAATTTGGGGACCAACAGAGGTGAGGCAAAGAACCTCACCCCTGCCCCCCGCTGATACAAAGACCTATCTACAGGTGAGGCTGTATACTGGACCGGTAGTCAGTGACGGGTAAGATCCAATTGCAATGGTACCAACCTAAGACTGACGCCTTGAGGTCAGCTCATCTGATAACGGGTAAGGACCATATGTACTATTGGACAACCTAAGGCAGGCACGGTCCCTAAGCCACATGCTTGTTGTTTAAACAGAGGGGGGGGCCCAAGCAAACTTTCAGACTGCCAGCTGATGATTGGCTCACAGTGGCCCCAGCAACTTCTAGCTGATTGGCTCCTCTGCGGTGATGCTCATTGGGCTGTTTCCCTGCCCTTTCAGACCATGGAGCTGCTCATTGGGGGACTTTTTTGGCTCCGCCCACACAACCCAGCCAATGGGCCTGAAGAGCAGGAGGAGTGGGGGAGGTTGAGAGGCTTGGGGGAAGCCGGTGTTGGCAGTTGAGCTCTGAGGGTTTTTCCTGAGGAGCTGTTTTGTTTGGCGTGTGTGGTTCTAAAAATAAAGTTAGTTTCTTTTGACAAGTGACTCCTGAATTGTGCCCAGCCAGACTGCGGCAGGGAGGAGTGCCAAAGAATTTGTGAACATGATTTAAAGTCATCACCCATATGTATTATTTAACCATTTAAAGACAATAGATTCTCTTTAAAGTAGAAGAAACTGTCCTCATTTGCCGCAGTCTGGCTGGGCACAATCAGGAGCCACTTGTCAAAAGAAACTAACTTTATTTTTAGAACCACTCACGACAAACAAAATAGTCTCTCAGGAAAAACCCTCAGAGCCTCAACTGCCACCACCGGCTTTCCACAAGCCTCTCTCTCCCACACAAGCTTCTCCCCACCTCCCACAATCCTCCTGCTCTTGAGGCCGATTGGCTGGGTCACGTGGGCGGAGCCAAAAAAGTCCCCCAATGAGCAGCTCCGTGGTCTGAAAGGGCAGGGAAACAGTCCAATGAGCATCACTGCAGAGGAGCCAATCAGCTAGATGTTGCTGGGGCCGAGGAGCCAATCAGCTAGATGTTGCTGGGGCTGCTGTGAGCCAATCATCAGCCGGCAGCTGGAAGTTTGCTGGCAGCTGGAAGTTTGCTGGGGCCCCTCAGGCTGTGGCTCTCAACATCTCCCCCTCTCTGTTTAAACAACAAGCATGTGGCTTAGGGACCGTGCCTGTTAGGCAGTCCAATTCAACATATGGTCCTTACCCGTCATCGGATGAACTGACCTCTAGGCGTCAGCCTCCTGTCTTAGGTTGGTACCACTGCAATTGGATCATACCCGTCACTGACTACCGGTCCAGCATACAGCCATACTTGTGGATAGGCCTTTGCACCTGTGGGGGGGTGAGGTTCTTTGCCTCACCTCTGTTGGCCCCCAAATTTTAGACCATCACTAGTAGAGGAGGATGCAAAATGCCATGACATTAAGCCAATTGAGGGCTCCTTTGAAAAATTGTACCACCGGTGACATCATCAGCAAAAATACCCCAACACTACCATAAGTCGCTGCACCAACAGATAGTTCACAATGCATACAGGTGAGCTCACAATGTGTCCAGGCAAGTTCTGCAAGCAGTTCAGTGATGGCTATTGTAGAAGCTGTAGATTGGTTTTATCTTTGACTTCACCAGCACTGGGATGAAAATAGGAATTCTGGCAATAATGGCTAAAGAAAAAATTATGTAACATTCCAGAAGGCACTAAAAGAAAACAATTTTCTTAACAATTTACATTGTCTTCACCGGCACTGGGATGAAGATAGGAATTCTGGCAATAATGGCTAAAGAAAAAATTATGTAACACTACAGAAGGCACTAAAAGAAAACAATTTTCTTAACAATTTACATTGTCTTCACCGGCACTGGGATGAAGATAGGAATTCTGGCAATAATGGCTAAAGAAAAAATTATGTAACACTACAGAAGGCACTAAAAGAAAACAATTTTCTTAACAATTTACATTGTCTTCACCGGCACTGGGATGAAGATAGGAATTCTGGCAATAATGGCTAAAGAAAAAATTATGTAACATTACAGAAGGCACTAAAAGAAAACAATTTTCTTAACAATTTACATTGTCTTTAAGAGAATTATTAAATATAATGAAAAGGAAAGGTGAAAGTAAACAAACAGATCTGTTAACCTTCTTTTTTGTTTACATATTAAAACAATCCTCAACAGTTGTTTACCCAATTTAAATTAAACCATATAAATCACGTGAAAAAAAAAATATTTGGATCCATTTTATCATGAGCGCTCATCATATATGATATATGGACATACGTACATTCAAACATATAACACAAAACACAAGTGTGCACACATAATATAATACATACAACACATAACATTATAGTAAAGGCCTTATAACTTTTTACAGGTGAAATCTCCATTGCAATGTTTAAAAACTCTATAGTCAAAAAATAGAACTGATCAGCAAAACATTAACCTAGGTCTGTATGAGCTCAAAAAACAAAATAGAACTTCATGATATGGCAAAGGGCAATAATAAAATAGATATTGAAAAAAGCATCCTGGTTCTGTTGCAGATGTAAGAATAGCCAAACTGGAGTTTTGGATATCAGTTGTTATGGATTTGAGCCAAATCATCTTCTTTTTGGTCTGTAGAAATCGCTTTAGTTAATCTTTCTGGAATCCAAATCGGCTGCTGTTCTCCCTGTGGAAACACATAAACAGACCCCCGACTCCAGACAATCACTGGGTCAGGACCTTGGTTAATCTCTCTGGAATCCAAATCGGCTGCTGTTCTCCCTGTGGAAACACACAAACAGACCCCCGACTCCAGACAATTACTGGGTCAGGACCTTTCCATTGTCCTGTTAGAATATCCTTCCAAAGTACCTTGGGCTTATGTACATTTTTTGGACACATATGCCTTTCCGCAGCACTAAGTCCTGATGAATCCAAATTTAAAAAGTTTAGAGTAAAAAGGGTTATTTTAAGTTTATCTTTGGGGAATATATACCCCTTCCCAATTCCTTCTTTTTGCTTTAATAAGTACATTTTAATAGTTTGATGAGCTCTTTCAACTATGCCTTGTCCCTGTGGATTGTATGGGATTCCTGTTATATGAGTAATGCCAAATGTTGAGCAAAATTGTTTAAAAGAGGTAGAAGTATAACCAGGGGCATTATCTGTTTTTAACTGTTTTGGAACACCCACAGTGGCAAAATTTTGTAAGCAATGAGCTATAACATCTTTAGTTTTTTCTCCGGCATGAAGGGAGCCCATCAAAAATCCAGAAGAAGTATCAACTGTAACATGCAAATATTTTAATTTTCCAAATTCTGGCAAGTGTGTGACGTCCATCTGCCAAATATGGTTAGGTATCAATCCTTTAGGATTGACTCCAAGATTAACTTGTGGTAAAAAGGTCACACAATTTTGACATTGTTTTATTATTTGTCTAGCTTGTTCCTTAGTTATTTTAAAGTGCTTTTGTAAAGTATTAGCATTGACATGGAACTTTTTATGAAAATTTATAGCTTCTTCTAGTGTAGAGAAAATATGTATGTCATGTGTAGTTTTATCTGCTAAATCATTGCCCAAACTAAGGGCTCCAGGCAATCCTGTATGTGCCCTGATATGTCCTATAAAGAATGGATCTTTTCTGTCCCAGATTAGACTTTGTATAGTGGAAAGCAAAGAGAAAACAGTAGAAGAAGGGGAAATCCTACCAGCATCTTCAAGAGATACTATAGCATTAACTACATACTGACTATCAGAAAATAAATTAAATACAGAATCTTTAAACATCACAAAAGCTTGTAAAACTGCATTAAGCTCTACCTTTTGAGCTGATTGTTTGGGTACTAAAAATGTAAAAGTTTGATCAGGGGTAACTACTGCTGCTGTACCATTATTTGACCCATCAGTGAATATATTTGGAGCATTCATGATAGGTGTTTTTCTTGTCATTTTTGGAAAAATTACAGGATGCAATGACCAAAAAGACAATAAAGGATTAGATGGTAAGTGGTTATCAAATGAAACATTAGATTTGCACATGATTATTGCCCAAGTATTTAACTCATTAGCTAACTCATCAATTTGATTCATAGTATATGGAGTAATAATTTTATTGGGAGAAATTCCAAACACTCCCTTTGCTGCTTTTATTCCTTTGAGTATTAATTGTCCTACAGCCTCAGGATACCTAGTAAGAATAGTGTTAGGAGAATAAGATAAATGTATCCATAATAATGGACCTTCTTGCCAAAATACTCCTGTAGGAATATTTTTTGTTGGTAGTACAATAAATAATAAAGGCAAACTTATATCAATTCTATCCAAATGCATATTTTCCATATATGTTTCAATGATTTTTAATGCCTTTCTTGCTTCAGGCGTTAACATTCGGGGTGAATTTGGATCTGATGGACCTTTTAGGATATCAAATAAAGGTCCCAACTCTCCTGTTGGTATACCTAAATAAGGCCTTATCCAATTTATGTCTCCTAATAACTTTTGAAAGTCATTAAGTGATTTGAGTTGATCTACTCGTATTTGAATTTTTGGTGGACGGACCATGGTTGAGGATAATAGAACTCCTAAATAATTAATTGGAAAATTTAATTGTACTTTATCTATTGCTATCTCTAGATTATAATTTTTTAATAAGTTTGTAAGTGTGGCATAACATTCTAGCAATGTGTTTTTATCTTTGTGTGCTAATAATACATCATCCATATAGTGAAATATTTGTAGTTCAGGATTTTGATTTCTAAGTGGCTGGATTACTTTGTTAACATAAATTTGACACATAGTTGGGCTGTTAGCCATCCCTTGAGGGAGTACTTTCCATTCATATCTCTGATCAGGACCTTCATGATTCAGTGCAGGGATAGTAAATGCAAAACGTGGACTATCCTCAGGATGAATTGGAATTGAAAAAAAACAATCTTTAATATCTATAACTAAAACATACCAGGTTTTTGGCAAAGCAGACAACTGAGGAATCCCTGATTGAGCAGGTCCCATAATAACCATCTCATTATTAATGGCTCTTAAATCTTGCAATAATCTCCATTTACCAGATTTCTTTTTGATGACAAAAATGGGAGTATTATGGGGAGATACAGAAGGTTGTATATGTCCTTCTGCTAATTGTTGTTTGACCAGGTAAAAATATGGAACGCTTCACGAATTTGCGTGTCATCCTTGCGCAGGGGCCATGCTAATCTTCTCTGTATCGTTCCAATTTTAGTATATAAGTACTTAGTTGTTGAACTTCTGAATTCCTAAAAAGAAATCAAAGAGCTTTCAAAACAAATCAAATAAATTAAACTTACTTGACTGGATGTTATATTTATAGACAGCAGTTAAGAAATGGGTTTATATAAAAATACTACTGTAGTATTACTATAGTATCTTCATGTTAATGGCACTTTAATATGATTGCTATAGATTTCCAACTGATACCATACAACGCTCAAAATGGATCAGAGCTGTTAATCGTGTGGACCCCAGAAGCAAAAAGATTTGGATTCCAGGACCAGGTGCTATACTATGTTCTAAACATTTTCAAGAAAGTGATTTTGAGTCCTATGGCATAAGAAGAAAGCTGAAAAAAGGAGCTGTGCCTTCTGTTTCTCTATACAAGGTACTTAAATCCAGTTGCAAACAAAGCTAAATTTTACAGAGCCTTGAAAAAAATCAAGGCAGTTCACATTTCAGCTAGAATTTGCAGAGATGAGAACATCCCAAGTATTAAATCCTGTAATGGATTTTATTTATTTATTTATTTATTTATTTTTTTTTTTTTTTTAAAGAGAGAGAGAGAATTTTTTAACATTTATTTCTTAGTTTTTTGGCAGGCACAACATCTTTGTTTGTATGTGGTGCTGAGGATCGAACCCGGGTCGCACGCATGCCAGGCGAGCACGCTACCGCTTGAGCCACATCCCCAGCCCCTGTAATGGATTTTAAATGCTTTGAAAATTAATTTTCTTTTCGTTGTTTTTAGTCTATATGTAATAATAGCATTCTGCTTTGGAGCTTTTGAAAAAGTTTAATCACAAAAATCAACTAGTAGGTATAAGCAGTCTTAAAAGTCAGGCTTTTGTTGAATAAGAGCTCATTATTGGCTCTTCCTAATAATGTTATTGATCTTGATCAAACATATACCTAATTAATAGCATTGATACAAGGAAGAAATGTATAGAAAATGAGAGAGTTTCTGTGAATGAGTCATCCATATTGACATTACATTTTTGTTTCCTTTTATTGTTTTTAACTTTTTACCCTTTAACTGTAACCTTTCAACATGATTTTCACTTTTTGCATAATCTGTGATAGTCTCTTCTATCTTTTATTTTTTTGGTTGGGGGGTTACTGAGGACTGAACTCAGGGGCATAGAGCCACTTCCCCAGCCCTATTTCATTGTTATTTAGAGACAGGGTCTCACCAGTTGCTTTGTGACTCGGGGTTGCTGAGGCTGGCTTTGCACTTGAGATTCTCCTGTTTCAGCTTCCTGAGCTTCTGGGATTACCGGTGTGCTCCACCGTTCCTGGCTCTTAACTTCTATTCTGACATTAGTTTTGTTTTTGTTTTGGCCATGGACTTTTTTTTGTGGTGGTGGTGGGGGTACCAGGGATTGAACTCAGGGGCATTCGGCCACTGAGCCACATCCCCAGCCCTATTTTGGACTTTATTTAGAGACAGGGTCTCACTGAGTTGTTTAGAGCCTTGCTATTGCTGACTCTGGCTTTGAACTCGAGTTCCTCCTGCCTCAGCCTCTTATGCTGCTGGGATTACAGGCATGTACCACCTCGCCTAGCTCTTGACTTCTATTGTGTCATTAGTTTTATCTTCCTCTTAACGCATTGGAGTCTCCTTCTTTCAGTGTTGTTTATCTCATTCCCCAAGTAGTTGATGTCAAATTCATATGTTCCATAAGCTTCCTGTTAATTAATCTATGTATTTCTGCCTGCCCTGAATTCTTTCAAACCACATATACTTCTTACTTCGAATTTGATAAACTGACATCTGCTTTCATAATTTTGTGTGAAATCAATAATTATTACTATTTATTGAGACCACTGATGGCCCGGCATTAGAACAGGAGATTTATGCAAATTTATTATTGTATCCTCAAGACAACCCTGTTTTATCCACATTTCACACATGAGGACACAGGGATTGTGGAGTTTAAATGACAGCTAATGAGTAAGGGAACTGGGATTCAAAGGTCAGTCCTGATTCCAAAGCCTCTGTTCCCTCCATGCCTTCTTTTTTGCACAAATAACTTCCTGTCCCCTCCCTTAATCCATATTATTGTTCCTTCAAAGAACTATTCAAAACTCACTTCCAGGAAGCCTTCCCAAATTACTACCACCTTTCTATAGTTACTTACTTCAGAAACTTCAGCATCACATTAATACTTCTATATAGGTGCAAAGAATAAACAAACCACAACCTTGTGCATTGTTCTGTATACTATACATTTTAAAAATTCAGAGTTTATGACTCTTTCCTTCACATCTAACTCTCCACAGCAACCAGGTGCATGTTTTGTGTTCAGTGCTATTTTTACAGATAATCTCATGCTTGATAATTTCTAAAATAACTGTACTTTTATATTTCTGTCATAGATTCCTCAGGGTGTTCACCTTAAAGATAAAGCAAGACAGAAAATCCTAAAACAACCACTTCCAGACAATTCTCAAGAAGTTGCTAGTGAGGACCATAACTATAGTTTAAGGAGGCCCTGGACAGGAGGTGCTGAGAAACTGGCTGAGGTGCAACAAATGTTACAAGTGTCTAAAAGAAGACTTATCTCTGTAAAAAACTACAGGATAATCAAGAAAAGAAAGGGCCTACAGTTAATTGATTCACTTGTAGAAGAAAGACTACTTTCTGAAGAAACAGAGTGTCTCCTAAGAGCACAATTTTCAGGTATCTCCCCCAGTTCCTGTAATATTTACGAAATAACTTTTTTTCTGAATACCATTAAATATTTAATTTGCCATTACTTATGAAAACATGCTTTCTACTGGGAAGTAAAAAAAAATCCTAGTAGTTTAAACAAGAAGAATGAAAAGTAATCTTGAAGTCCTTTTATATTTCTTCCAGTTATAAAAATAGCATTTATTATAGGAAAAGCAGAGAAGTATTTAAATGATAAAATAATGCATAATACTACTACTGAGAAATGAAATCATATGGTTTTATACAACTTTCTGTACTTTATTTGAAATAGCTTTGACCTATGCTACTGCAGATTCTTTATAAATAGGTTTTTTGTTTGTTTATTTGTTGTAATGGGGATTAAATGCAGGGGCACTGAACTACATCCCCAGTTCTTTTTTTTTTTTTTTTATTTTTAAATTTGAGACAGGGTCTTCCTGAATTGCTGAGGGTCTCCCTAAGTTGCTGAGACTGGCCGGGGACTTGTGATGCTCCTGCCTCTGCCTTCCAAGTCACTGGGATTACAGGCATGTGCCACTGCCCCTGGTTTCTAAACAGTTTTAATTGCTACATAATTTATTACCAAAGTCCTGTTGCAATAGAGTTGACCTAGATAATTTGCAAAAGTGTCTTTGAGCTTGGAAATTATATGAGTCTCCCAGTTTTTTTCCCTAAAATATTCTATAGATATGTAAATCCATGGAAAGACTACTTAGTCCTCTATGTGAACCAGGAAGAGGGGTAAAATAAGATTTGCCAACTTATTCTTTGAAAGTAGCAGAGATTTTAGATTTATATTCTGGTGAAAGAATAATTCCTATTTCTAGAAAAATAGGGGAGAATATTCTATGTTTCCCCAAGAGAGGGGAACTGAAGTAAGAATTGGAATCTCCACAGGAACAGAAGATTTTTGTTTTCCTTTTCTCTTTCACTGTTAGGCAAGATGATCTTTTCAATCTGAATAATACTGTATCCCTAGAAATGTTCTCTTCATTTAATTTTCACTCTCAGATAAATAGTAACCAGGTAAAAACAAAACAAAAATGTTCTTATACTCTAGAGGTTTAATTTGATCCAGTTACCATATTTCACTTCATAATGGTAGCAGGTATTATGTTGTTTTTCTGTTTGTTTGTTTGTTTTATACTGGGAATTGAACTCAAGTGTGCTTTACCACTGTGCTACATTCCCAGCCCTTTTTATTTTTAATTTGAGTCTCTATAAGGTACTTAGGGCTTCTTTAAATTGCTGAGGGCTGACATTGAACTTATGCCCCACCATGCCTGGCTCATTACAGATTTTTATCCCAAATTTTTTTTGCAAAAAAGTGGGATATTACCATTATGTGAAGCTTCAAAAAAATGTGCTGTTATTACTTAAAAATCATTTATTACTACACTGTCTTTGGTACAAGATTAGAACATATGGCATACTTGTGAAATATAGTATTTCATTTTCTTCCCTCTTCCTCTAAAAATTTCTTATCTGGCTGCCAATGAATAGTAAAACATGATTTAAATTGAAACTGTTTTCTTCCCTCTTTCTATTGAATGATGGAGATGAGCATGGTAAATTGGTTAGGGTGCCCTGAGCGGATATTAACTTGTGAACAAACTCAGTTTAAATGTGATTATTTTTATTTGAATTTTCATGTCCAGTCATTTTGTATCCAAATGCTGTGATCTGAAAATTTATTATGCCATTTTTTATATAAAAATAAATGTTATTTTAACAGATTTTAATTGGGAGATGTATAACTGGCGAGAAACAGCTGAGTACTCCACCGAAATGAAACAGTTTGCGTGTACACTCTATTTGTGTAGTAGCAAAGTCTATGATTATGTAAGAAAGATTCTTAAACTGCCTCATTCTTCTATCCTCAGAACGTAAGTAATTAATTTTTGGATGTTAAATGAAACAAATAAATTTGTTCTTTTATGAATTTTGTACATTAAGGCTATTAGTATCCATACCCCCATTAATTACTCCATTTTCTGTTTAAAAACTTCTAGGTAGTATTTGCATATTATCACAGCAGCAATGTTTTCACCCACAAGATGAGGACACATAGGCTGACAAAGGATTTTGCGTCTCAAATGTTAGAGACACTCTGGGTGGTAAAATTTGAATCTTGAAATATTGAAATTTCTAGTACACTTTAGTAGTTCTAATATCTCACTATTTTGGAAAATCTTTCACAGTTCTGATTAATACTATTTATTAAAGGCAAAGCACCAAAAAATCTGCATTTTCTGTAAGCACTGCTGTTGTTGTCACTGCAGGTTGTTCAGGGACCAGATTTTAGTAAGTATCTTCTCAGGTTTTCTGCTCAGAATATATAGATACATTTATAATTGTCAGTGTGAAGTGAATAATAATGATTTTCTAGTAATGTCTTACAAATTTAATATTCAATCTTGGCTCTTTTTCATCACTAGTTTAACAGACTTCCTTTTTTAAGAAATGAAGGGGGATTCTCCTATATACCAAAAAAAAAAAAAAAAAAAAATTTAAAAAATAGGAAATGAGAGAAAAGGAAGAAAAAAAATGAATACTTTTTTTCTACACAGCATATACAATTATCATTAGAGTATTTCCTATAGTCTTTTTTATGTGCATAGATTTACTAGGTTTTACATAGTTATGATCTTTTCTACATAAATTTCTGTATCACTTTATTATTTATGCCTTTTATCTGTTATTTTGAACTCTTCATAGGTAAATTTTAATAGCTGATAATATTAGTTGGTCCTACCCTATTTAACCCTTTTCTAACCATTGGACATTCATATTATTTTGACTTTTTGGTTGTAATTGCTATTTCATACATTGAGGTGAATACTTGTGTAATAAAACTAACTCTGTTCCTAGTGTGAGGTTATCATATAGGCTTGGTGTTATACCTATTTACAAATGTCAATCACTTAGCAGACATATTTATAGACATTTTGTTTATATTTCTTGTCTTGTACCTTTTTAAGTTCAGTCCTCTCCCATATTAATTTTACCTAAAGCATTCCTTACTGGTTTTTCATGATGGTCTGTGTAAGACCTTTCACATGACTTCTCATCTTTATTTTCTATGTTTTTCTTCCTTCCCTATAGTTCTATACCAATTCCTAGCTAGATTAAATCTTTCCTAGTAGTTCTATTTCATGCTTTTCTTTCTTCGTGGGAGTTTGGTATTTGTAGTCTTTGTTGTAACCTGGCACATTTTTATTTATAATTCCACTAATGCCATTACTTATTTCTTTGGATACTTTGGCTGTAACTAAATTACATTGTTTAGGGTTATAGTAATGCATGCTTGTTATTAAACATTCAAACAGTAAGTAAGTATTTAAATACTAGAAAATGAAAAACATGTATAATCTTTCTCCTTCCCTAATCTCATAAGGTAACTACTCTTAACAGTTTGGTAAATAGCCTCCCAGACTTACGTTGTGCTATGCTGGGGATTGAGCCAAGACAGGTAGGTGCTCTACCACTGAGCTACACCCCCAGCCTAGACTTTTTTTTTTCTCCAATCTATTTCTTGATAAAATTTTGCTTTAATGGCCATATAATATTTTTATATATTAATGATACCTAGATTTTATCGTAGAAAATCTGGAAGGTCAAACATTTGTTTTTTATTACAATTCCATTTAAAAAAATATATTTTAAGACAGTTGTGCTTTAAGTAATAGATCTTTATAACCATTATATTTAATATTTATTCAATAAATATTTATTGATCAGGAGCGGCCAGTGAGGCAGGAGGAAAACCAGGAGGTTGTGATGGCCTGGAAGCCAAGTGTAGAAAGTATTTCAAGGAGGGAGTAGTCCACTATGTCAAATGCTGCTGGGAGATCAGATCAGGTAAGATGAGGACAGAGAATTGACTCTTGGGTTTTGCAAGCTAGAAGTCATTGATGATCTTGACAAAAGCAGTTGCAGTGGAGTGGTGGAAAGGTGAAACTGGCTTGAGTGGGCTCACAAAAGTCTGGAAATAAAGAAGACCCCCTCCCCCCAAACACACACACACACACACACACACAAATTAAAAATATGTGTGTGTGTGTAAATTATAGGAGTTTTGCTATGAAGGAGAGCAGGAAAATACATCTTTGGTAGAAGGAAGGGTGTTGATTTGGCAGATGTTCTAGCATGTTTGTATGTTCATAGGAATGATAGAGTAAAGATAATTGGTGATTCATAAAAGAAAGGATAATTTCAGGAGGCTAACATCCAATACCATTTTGGAAATAAGTAACCTTAGCTAGGACAGGAACCGTTCATCCATTAGATTAAGAAGAGAGGCAGAGACAGATAAAATAAGGTGATAGATTTGGTGGTAAGAAATGAATTTTGTTCAGATTGCTTCTATTTTCTGCATGAAATAAAGCTATTAGTGGAGAGATGAGGAAGGAGGTATTAGAAATTTGGAACGAGAAGAGGAAATGTTCACAGTCATCTTAGAGGCCAGAAAAAAACAAGTTACTTGGAAAATGTGGCACCAGAAGTGTTTTCAAAACTAGGTTTTTTTGGATGGAAAAAAACAAATAGATGGTTAATGTTAGATGAGGACAAACCAAGCCAGCCTTAAATTTTTTAAAATCTTGGTTTGGTTAGGTAGGTACCTCTCATTGATTTCTGATTGTCATCTGTCTTTCTCTAATGCTTACCTTCATCAAACATAGCTCTTATTAATTTTTTTCTGTGCTGATGTTGGACCCTTTTTTTAATTCTCTTTGAATTATTTATGTCCACAGCCTTCTCAGAACAGTAATTTTTCTAATTCCAGGGCTTTGGGTCTTTAAGGTAGCTTACTTTCATAAATTCTTTGAAATTATGTCATTATGTCCTTAGATTTCCTTGTTATAATAATGATACACTTAGTGTGATTTTGGTCATAGTTACACAGTGATCGAACACTTGTTCCTTAGTTATATTCCTCTGTTTCTAATTTTCTTTGTTCATATTCACTTAACAAATTAACTTCTCATATAGATTGGATGCAGTGAGTCTCAAAAATAAACAAAATGGTGGAAAGAGCTTATAGTCTTACAGAAAAATAGATAGTATTACAGAGTTCTAGGACTCCTTTTTTCCCCAAGTAGTCTTAAGCCACCCAGCTTTCTATAATCATTCCATAACAAAGCTTCTAGATATTAGTTAATTAAAAGTATGTTGATGAGAATGTAAATTAAAATTGGTGGGAACTTTCTGGAGGATAGTTTCAAATGTACACACCCAATTATGTGCACTTGAGATCCAAAATTTGATTTTAATTTCCTATTAAAGTTGAGTTAATTTATCCCAATTCATGCATAAATTATCTTTGCATCCTATTCCTACAAATTACACAAATGACATAAACAAGTGTGCTTAATATGTAATTGCACTATTTATATTGTCTAAAAAATTAAAACAACCTAAATGTTTTTTAACATGGTTTAGTTAATATTCTTAATCACGTGACTGTAGGCTAATATTTAAAGACATGGAAAAATGACTCCCAACATTAAATGAAAAAAATAAATAAATAAACCCAGTACAATTTTTGAAAACTACATCTAGGTATGCATACATATCTAGTTTCCTAGACTCCCTGAAATATTAACCGATTTTTAAAAAATTTTTTTACACTTTTTTTAAATAATAATTTTTTTAAAAGAAGGAAAAGAAGAATGTAACTTTTTATGTTCAGAATTTTTTTCCTCCAATTTTGGGAGAGAAGAAAGTTTGAGAAAAATCAGTTGCCTCCTATGCTGCTGTAACTTACACTCTTGGTTTAACTCTTAGATGTACCTTCACAAAATAAATCCAGTCTACTTATCTTTCTTCAAGACACTATTCTAGTACCTGTGGACATTAAGATACTATTTAGATTTTCATTTAGAAAATAAGCCCAACTGAACAAGGCATTTTTTTTAATCCCATTTAAAATAAAACTTTTACAGAGAGACATGAAGTAGTTTCAATGCATACTCTTGCATATGCAGCACATTTACATCTTGATGTTCATTTGAGAATACTAATGTAAAATAAATTAATTTTAAACAGTTAAAACTTGATGACATACCTGTGAAGGGTTTCCAACATACTAATGGGCTGTAGCATTCCTCTGTTTTTTCACTGTGTTACTATTTCTGTTGTATTTTAAAATATTAACAACTGATATATACTTTTGTCTCCTAAATAGTTATCAAAATGTCTTTTGCATCCTATAACTGTATCTATCTCAAAACCATCTGTGCCTGAAATCAATTTATTATATCATAAGTGCCATTAGAGTATAGGTTGTATTTCTTTGTATGTGAAAGTCCATGGTAGGAGTTTTATTTACAAAACTTCTAGGTTGCATCTAAACTATTTGGAAAGCCCTGTCTTGACTGAGATGGGACTGCAAGTTCTAGGTCAATCTGGGCAACTTAGTGAGACCCTATCTCAAAATAAAAAATAAGAAAGAACTGGGTATGTAGCTCAGTTGCAGAGCACCCTTGGCTTCAATTCCAGAACCCCCAAAATAAAATAAAATTGCACATGAGTCAAAGGAAAAATCACAAGGGAAATAAATATGGCTGCTTTCTTTCTGGGAAACAAATTATAGTAAATTATAAGAAAGAAGAATTCTGAAGATGGACACTAACAATAATAGGAAGGACTGATTAGCAGCTGGGAAGCTCAGGGGTACTATGAAACAGCTCCTAAGGTATTAATGCAGGTACGTTGTATAAGAACCAACACATGCAGATACCTTAAAGCTTCTTACAGTGTAATTTTGAGGCTGCAAGGAGTGAGCAAAGCACCGAAGGTCTGGTATCAGGAAAGTTGGGTTTCAAATTTGTCCATAACTAATAGCACAATACAGGCAAAGTTGCTCAACCACTCCCTTTTCCCAGATTCCTAATCTGTAAAATGAGGTAGATGTACTAGATGTACTCAAAGGTTCCTCCCCTTTCTTCAGTTTCTTCTTTCAGTAAATGTACAGACAAGACTGGTTTACTATCCATATTGTAAAAAGATTGATCAGAACATGCTAGATAATTGATATGTGTACTATTTAAAGAATAAATGAGCCAGGCATGGTGGTACATACTTTTAATCCCAGTGACTTAGATGGCTGAGGCAAGAGGATTGCAAGTTCAAAGTTAATCTCAGCAACTTATAGAGGCCCTAAGAAACTTAGTTAGATCCTCTCTCAAAATAAAAATAAAAAAGACTGAGGAATATGGCTCAGCAGTTAAGCAACCCTGGGTTTAATCCCCAGTACCAAAAAAAAAAAAAAGGGAAGAAATGAGAAAAATAATGTTGTGTGTTTGCATATTAAGATCCTAGTTTGTGTTTCTTTATTATTTCATTGTATCTATAAATATATTCTTGAAATGTATAATTTGGATACTTGAGTTTTATTTCTACAGGGATTTGAGGTTACATTTAGTACCATTTAAGTCTTGTTCCTTTTTTTCTTTTTATTTCCTTATTTAAGTTTGTGTTTTAATTTTATATTTTCTAGGTGGTTATCCAGATGCAAACCCAGTCCAGGTTTCAACAGCAATATTTTTTCTTTTCTTCAACAAAGAGTAGAGAATGGAGACCAGCTATATCAGTACTGTTCACTGATAATAAAAGGTATCTCTCTCAAGGAACAACTTCAGTGGGATCCCAGCAGTAACAGTTTGCAAGGGTTTATGGACTTTGGTCTTGGGAAACTTGATGCTGATGAAACACCACTTGCCTCAGAAACCATTTTGTTAATGGCAGTGGGTATTTTTGGTCATTGGAGAACCCCTCTTGGTTACTTTTTTGTAAACAGAACATCTGGATACTTGCAAGCTCAGCTGCTTCGTCTGACTATTGGCAAACTGAGTGACATAGGGATCACAGTTCTGGCTGTTACGTCTGATGCTACAGCTCACAGTGTTCAAATGGCAAAAGCATTGGGGATACATATTGATGGAGACAACATGAAGTGTACATTTCAGCATCCTTCATCTTCTAGTCAACAGATTGCATACTTCTTTGATTCTTGCCACTTGCTGAGATTAATAAGAAATGCATTTCAGAATTTTCAAAGCATTCAATTTATTAATGGTACAGCACATTGGCAGCACCTTGTGGAATTAGTAGCTCTAGGAGAACAGGAATTATCATATATGAAGGGAATCCCAAGAAAACATGCAAATTTGAAAAATCATGTATTGAAAATGAATTGTGCTGCTCAACTCTTTAGTGAGAGTGTAGCCAGCGCATTAGAATATTTGCTGTCAGTGGGCCTTCCTCCTTTTCAAAACTGTATTGGTACTATCCATTTTTTACGTTTAATTAACAACCTGTTTGACGTTTTTAATAGCAGAAACTGTTATGGAAAGGGTCTTAAAGGACCTCTGTTACCTGAAACTTTTAGTAAAATAAATCATGTATTAATTGAAGCCAAGACTATTTTTCTTACATTATCTGACACTAGCAATAATCAGATCCTTAAAGGTAAGCGGAAATTAGGGTTCCTGGGATTTTTGCTTAATGCTGAGAGCTTAAAATGGCTCTACCAAAATTATGTTTTCCCAAAAGTTATGCCTTTCCCTTATCTCCTGACTTACAAATTCAGTCAAGACCATCTGGAATTATTTCTAAAGATGCTTAGGCAGGTATTAGTACCCAGCTCCAGCTTTACCTGCATGGCATTCCAGAAAGCTTACCATAATTTAGAGACCAGATACAGATTTCAAGATGAAGTTTTTCTAAGTGAAGTAAGCATCTTTGACATTTCAGTTGCTCGAAGAAAAGATTTGGCCCTCTGGACAGTTCAACGTCAGTATGGTGTCAGGGTTATGAAGTCGCTTTTTCACAAAGAAGATATTTGTCTAGACTGGTCTAATTGTTCACTAAGTGAGGCATTACTAGACCTGTCAGATCAAAAGCGAAGTCTTACCTGTTATGCTGGTTATATTGCAACTAGGTTATCAGCTATTTTAACTTGTGAAGACTGTATCAGTGCACTGTATGCATCGGATCTTAAAGCCTCTAAAATTGGTTCACTGTTATGTGTTAAAAAGAAGAATGGTTTGCATTTTCCTTCAGAAAGTCTATGTCAGATAATAAATATTTGTGAACAAGTTCTAAGAACCCATTCAAGAATGGTAGTTTTTGAACTAGTTCCTAAACACAGGGAATTGTATCTTCAGGAGAAAATATTACATGAGCTTTCTGGGCATACTTATCTTTTTGTAGATTTAAATGAGCATCTCTTTGATGGAGAAGTTTGTGCCATCAATCATTTTGTAAAGCTACTAAAGGATATAATAATGTGTTTCTTAAGTATCAGAGCTAAAGATGTAGCTCAGTACTCTTTAAGACACCATTCAGAAAGAACTGAAAGGAAGACTTTGTCAAAGAAACACGGGTCTTTACAGGATTACAAATGTTTAAGTTTCGCTAATACTAATAAATTTAGACATTTGCTAAGTAATGATGGATATCCATTAAAATGAGAGCTCTTAAAATATATTACCATTTTTCTTAAGAATATTTGGTCAACATTTTTTTTAAAGCTCACTCTACCATATTTTATAAATTGACCATTCTGCACAGTGGACAACTTTGCAATTTTGACTTAATGAATATTATAAACTCTGCTCATGTCTTGGAATGGCCCATAGCATTTGAGTTTTACAAAGTAGTAAGTCTCTCAGAACAGACCACCAACAGGTGCTATCTTTGAAGTTACTCCTATAAGAGTGACTTGAACTGATACACTTTTGACTTGTTCAAAGAGTAACAACCATTCAGAATCACCCAAACATGGGCTCCTTTGCTAAATAACTACATTTCCTTAAAGAGCTTTGGTTTATAATTCTTAAGAATGTTAGCAAAATACTTATAAAACCTTTATATTTCATATTTAAAAATGAAAGTTAAGTTGTGCTTTGAACATTAGGCTAAAGTAAAAAGCAATTACCGCAAAGATCCCCTTGTCCTGGGGTACTCTAAAATAGAAAAACTTTGTCAGACAGAAGGTAAGTCTTTGAACCATGAGATTGTTCTTTGTGTTATATCCAAGCAGGAAAATGCAGTCTGGGAAGAGTAAAGGTGATGTGGTTTTTACTATCCAAGTCCCTGGATTTTGAAATATTTCTTTTGAATAATATAATAGGGTGGATACTTCACCATTTGACTCCTATTGGAAGAACCCAGTGCTCATCAGAGACTGGGAAGAAGCCTTTATTTCAACTTCTGTTCTTTCTGAGATGTGTTTTCAGGGAGGCTAAAATAATCAAACATACCAATATTGATTGACTAATAGAATCATAGCATGTGATTAATAAACTAGAAAATAATGGTCTATTTAGACAATGGATATGGAAAATTTTGTCTTAATTACATAATGGTATTTGTCCCTCAGAAATTTAGGAGTTTAAATCCAAAGGTGGAAAGCATGTTAAGAATAATTTTCTCCACTCTCTCACACATTTGAAAAGATAAGTAGAAAAGCATGCAGGTACCTAATTTTCACAAATAGGAGCATGCTAATGGATAAAAGAAATAAGAACGTATTACTCACCTGCCTTATAAAACATGTCTTTTTTGTCATTGAGTGTCACAAAGTAAAGTTAATGCTAATATAAAATTTTAAATTACAAAAGATTGCTGGGTGTGGTGGTACAGTCCTGTAATTCCAGCAACTTGGAAGGCGGAGGGAAGAGTATCACAAGTTTGAGGCCAACCTCAGCTTCTTAGACCCTGTCGCAAAAAATAAAAAAAGATCCGAGCGCAGTGATGCACACCTGTAATCCTAGCAGCTCGGGAGGCTAAGACAGGAGGGTGGTGAGTTCAAAGGCAGCCTCAGCAATAGCATGGTGCCAAGCAACTCAGTGAGACCCTGTCTCTAAATATAAAATACAGAATAGGCTGGGAATGTGGCTCAGTGGTCGAGTGCCCCTGAGCTCAATCCCTGGTACCACCCCCCCAAAATAAGGGTTGGAGATAGCTCAGTAGTAAAATGCCCCTGGGTTTGATCCCCAATGCCACCGAAAAATAATAATAATTACAAAGTAAAAGTTGAAATTCCCCTTAAAAAGTCTGTCTTGGTGTATTTGTTTATTCTACCTCAGAGACATATGTTTTGAAATATAATCAGTGTTATATTTTATACAAGAACCTATTACTATAGAAATTTCAGTCTTATGGGTTTTTTTGTTTGAAAATCACCACCATTAATTTATTGCTTATATAAATCAAGTTTTGTACCTGAGCTTTATTTAAAGCAAGGTTCACATCTATAGTGTCTGTTACTCCTTGTTGTTATGTTTGACTAATGTACTAATATATTCTGTATTTAAAGAAATTAAGTGTTTCGTGTTATTCCTTTCAGTGCTGGATAAATTGGGCAAATGTTGAAGGTGAGAGAGAATATTTCCATTACTACTTTTAGCTCATTTAATTGCTTTATATCCCTTTTACCTGATATAGCATGCTTTGCAGCAAAATATTCATATTTGATTAAGGTATTAGTTATAATTTCTACTCTGCATCTTTTTTTTCCTTCAGAGAAAAACATTCTCTTAAAAAAAATTTATTCATCCTACTTTCCAACAAATAGAGTTGGGATAACTGGATATCCACATGCAAAAGAATCAATTCAAAATGAATCAAAGAATTAAATGCCAGAGGTAAAGCTATAAAACTTAGAAGAAGGGGCTGGGGATTTAGCTCAGTTGGTAGAGTGCTTGCCTCGCATGCACAAAGCCCTGAGTTCAATCCCCAGCATGACCAAAAATAAATAAATAAAACTTAGAAGAAAATAGAACTGGATTAGGTGTTTGTGTTTTAGCTAAGACACCAAAAAAAGAAAAGAAACAATAGAAATTGGACTTCATCAAAATTAAAAACATGTTTACATGTTTCAAGGAGATATCAAAAATGTAAGACTAGGGCTGTTGCTCAGTGGTATAGCACTTGCCTCACATATGTGGAGTACTGGGATTTAATCCTCAGCACCACATAAAAATAAATAAATATTGTGTCCATCTACAACTAAAAAAATATTTTTTAAAAAATGTGAAAGAGGGCTGGGGATGTGGCTCAAGCAGTAGCGCGCTCGCCTGGCATGCGTGCGGCCCGGGTTCGATCCTCAGCACCACATACAAACAAAAATGTTGTGTCTGCTTAAAAAAAAAAAAAAAAATGTGAAAGACTGGGGCTGGGGATGTGGCTCAAGTGATAGCGCACTCGCCTAGCATACGTGAAGCACTGGGTTTGGTTCTCAGCACCACATAAATGTGAAATAAAGATACTATGTCCACCTAAAAACTAAAGAAATAAATATTTAAAAAAAAAATTTAAAGACTACGAATGGAGTGAAAAGAAATTTTGGAAACCATTTCTCATATAGGATTTGAGTCCAGAATAAATACACTAATAACTCCTATAACTCAATAACCAAAATTTTAAAAATGGGTAAAGAATAAGTAGACATTACCATAGGAGATAGTCAAACAGCCCCAAATGACTATGTTTGGCATCATGAGCCATCTAAGAAATGCAAATCAAATCACTGTAAAAATGTCTCTTCTGACCAACCAGGATGGCCATAATAAAGAAGACATAGCAAGTGCTGGCAAGAATGGGGAAATTGTAACCTTCATTCACTGTTGGTGAGAATGCTAAATAATACAGCTAGTGCATATGCTTAGAAAAACAGCCTGGCAGCTCCTAAAACAGTTTAACAGGGTTAACTATAACCAGTCGTGCTCTTAGGCATATTAGCAAGAGAAATTAAAACATGACCACACAAAAATTTGTACACAAACTTCATAACATAATAGCCCAAAGGGAAAAAAAATCCCTAAAAGTCTGGTGACTGCTAAGTGGGTAAATAAAAATATGCTATATCTATACAATGGGTCATACAGTAAGTGTATGTTTAACCTTATAACAAACTGCCAAAACTTTTTACAAAGTGTACCGTTTGTCATTCCGACTCCAAAGTACAAAAATTCCAATTGCTCTACCTCCTCCTCAGCATTTGGTAATGTCGGGTTTTGTTTTCTGTTTGAAATAGCTAAGGTGTGTAGTGATCTTTCATTTTTATTTGCATTATCCTAATGGCTAATGATGTGGAGTACATTTTCATCTCCCTTGTTTTTCATTTATCTCTTTAGGTAAAATGTCGGTTCAATTCTTAGGCCCATATTTTGGAAAGTTGGTTGCTTTCTCAGTGTTATATATTCTAGATATTTGTTTGTTGCCCTGTCAGATGTGTTTTGCAAATATTTTTCACAGTTTGTAACTATTTAAATTTTCATAATATCTTTTGAAGAGTAAATAAATTTTCATAAGTCTAATATTTCCAATTTTCTTTTAGGGATTATACTTTTTAATATTCAAGAAAATCTTTGCCTAAGCCAAAGTATCAGGATTTTCTTACAGATATTTAGTAGTTTATGTTTTACATTTAAGTCACAATCCATTTTAAGTTAACTTTGGTATATGAGTTAAGGTTCATGTTTTAATTTTGAATCCACAACCTCAGACATGCTAGCCAGGTGGCTCTACCACTGAGCCACATCCCTAACCCTTTTTAGTTTGAGACAATCTTGCTAAGTTGCTCAGGCTGGCCTCAAACTTGTATTCTTCTTGCCTCAGTGTTGTGAACAGCTGAAATTATAGGTATTTGCCACCATGCCCAGCAGGTAGATTGGTATTTTGACATACAGATATCCCAACACTATTTGTTTAAAAGATTGTCCTATCCTTTCTCTGTTGAATAACCTTTGTACCCCTCTCAAAAAAATTACTATATATTTATATATGTATATGGTTGTTTTTGTACTCAATATTTTTTCACTGATTTTCACCTATGGGTCTATCATTTCACCAAGACCAGAGTATTTTTACTCTAGCCTTTTATTTCTTTCTTTTTTAGTTTTGTAATTGTAGGTGTACACAATACCTTTATTTACTTTTATGTGGTGCTGGAGATTGAACCAAGTGCTTCGAACATGCTAGGTAAGAGCTCTACCATGGAGGTACAACTGCATTCCCCCTTATATGTTTTTGAAATCAGGTGGAAGTACTCCATCTTTGTTCTGTTTTCAAAAATGCTTTAGCCATTCTAATTGTCCTTTTCCATGTAGATTGTATAATGAGGATGTCAATTTTTACAGAAATCCCTGCAGGGATTTTTACCAGAATTTTGTCACAGAGTTCTGCTGAATCTGTAGATCATTTGGGGGAAAGCTGGCACACTGAATCTTTCAATCCTAAAAAAGGGCATCGTGTTATCTTTTTTCTTTGATTCTTATCAGTAATTTCTATTTTTCACTATACAGACTTTATATATTTTGGGAGGAGGAGGATTTCATGCATTTTTTCTGCTGGTATAAATGGTAATTTTAAAATTTCAGTTTCTAAATTATTGCTGCTGTGTACAAGTATAGTTGACTTTTACATATTGATCTTGCTAACCTCACTTGGTAGTCCTAGTAGCTTTCCTTAAATTCTTTGCTTTTCTGCATAGGCAATCATATTATCTACAAATATAGTCTCACTCATTTCTGATCTGTGGGCCATTTTTCCCCCCTTGCCTTTGTACAATGACCTCTACTGCTGAATTGAAAAAGAGTGCCTTGTTCCAAGTCTTTGAAAACATGTCTTTACCATGTGTACTGTGAGCTTTTGGCTTTTTTTTTTTTTTTTTCAGTTGTAGGTGGACACAATACTTTTATTTTATTTATTTATATGTAGTGCTAAGGTTCAAATCCAGGGCCTTACATATGTTAGGTGAGTACTCTACCACTGAGCCATAATCCCAGCCCAGCTTTTTTATCAGGTTTATTCTCGATTTGTGAGAGTTGCTTTTTGATCATAAATGGGTATTGAATTTTCTTTCTTCTGCAACTTTTTGAGGGAGAATTTTTGAGATAGAAATTCTAAGTTTTTTCTATATGCACAGTCATTTTTTACATTTGAAATGAGTATTTCATTTTTTAAAATATATTGATTTCAGTGAATTACATTGTTTTTAAGTGTTGGATCAACTTTTTATTTCTGGGATAGTCAGTTCTACTTGGTCATGATGTATTTTTATATATTGACATATTTCATTTGCCAATTTAAATTAGTTTCATTGAAGTCCCTGTGATCTTAACAATAAACAGTTTCTTGCATATACATTATAATTTATTGCCTTTGAGTAGAAACTACTATTTTTTTAAACTGATAATGTTTAAATTCTCTCACAAAATCTACTTTTGAGAAGAAAATATTTAAATTAAAAAAAATTTATCATTATAAGGCTCAGTTGGTAGAGAGCTTATCTCCCCCACACAAGGCTCTGGGTTCAATCCCCAGCACCATAGACACACAAAAAAAGCCATTATAGCTTTCATTTTATAAAGTCACTTGGATCGAGCTAGTTCAGTAGTGGAACTTGCTTGGTATTGTGTAAGGCCTTGTGGGGGATGGGGATGGATACTGGTTCTTAAAAAGCTCACATTTGATCTACAATAAATATGGATTAAAGAAGTCTTAAGAAAAAAAAGCCTTAAATAAATATAGAAAATAACCCCCGTATTAAAGACTTCAGGTGACTGGCTTTAATTGGCAACTCCAGAATTCTATATAAAAATACGTAAGGGATACAATATAGCCAAACGTAGGACTAGAGATCCTGTTTGAAGCTTCAATTACAAGACACATTAATTTTCTTAATGATGTTTTACAACAGTAAAAATAGAAAACTTTTCTAAAGGTATTTCTATTTACATGAGATTGAGAAAATGTCCGTCATTAAATATGAAAAAAAATGGGAAAGCTAAAGCATTACACACCTCCTCCCTCACCCAGTATGTTCTCATTGTTTTAGTACTTACTTGTAGCATTAAGATTCTGAGAGATGAGACCTACAGGTTGCTTTTAGTTCTTCAGGGATAAGGAAACAAAAGTGGTCATCATAATAACATCATACATTAAAACGCAAAGAGTAGATGGAGTTTCTGCTCTTAGAAGAAAGCAGGAAAGGGAGAAAGCACATTCTCATTTCAAAGCAATTTATGTTAATGATAATTAGGCAAAAATAATTTTTGCTTGTGTTTTCAGAAGTAATGTCAAATTTACTTGAAAGATAATTTAAAAGGTTTCTTGCAATTAAATAGTTAAAAGTGGCATTAAACTAAAGAAAGAATGCAAAACCTTTATTTTTTTACAGAATAGTATAAATGTTTATTTTCTGTATGATTTACTTTCCTATCCTGTTTTTACAATATAGAAAAGTGTATTTGAATAGCTCTAGTAAATATAAATTTAATCTTTCTACTTTGGGATGTAAATAGAGCTAGAAAATTA